ACATAGATTTCTTACATGCATAGCTAACAAAATCAACAGAAAAAACTGACCATCAAATGAAATATACAGTACTGGAAGAAACAAATATGATCCAGTGAACGATTAAACTTAACAGCATCTTAACAAAATAAGATATGAAGATATGAAAGGATGTATAATCGATCAAAAAGTAAGAGAAGAACGAGAGTTACGGAATAATAATGCAATCACAATATTAATTGGTAAAGCTATTCAACTCGACTCTCGTAAAATAAATTCTACTTACGTAGTTACATGAGACACGCTTCCACGGAAAAGATCTTGAACGATAGTTTTTGCTTTAGAAACTTTTGAGTGACTTAAGCAATGCTCCAGCAGAGAAAGAAGCAAAGTCAGGAACTCGTGACTATCCTGCTGGACTCCATTATCTAACTCCAGTGTTTTTATGAAAGGGAATGAATCCACAAAAGCCAATTTACTGGCATGGAGGAGAGCAAAGAGACGTACAAGCTGATCTAGAACCGGATTTTGTTTCAGAACGTCTGACTCAACCGAAAATATGCCTTCCCTGAAGCACTTGTTCATGTACAGACACTGAAGGATGCTATTGGCATAGCATGTTGCACCAAGATTTGTAAGACCAGCAGGAAAGTCAGGAGAAGTACGTTGATCCTTGGAAGGATCTGAACCAAATGCTTGCACAATTTCTGAAATCTTTTGCCATAAGCCAACCTTCCTGCTACCAGTAGGAGGTGGAATCAACCCACAGAAACAATTTGGGTTATCCTTATTATTCACCCGGCATCCTTGACAAGTCGGCTTCCATATCATATAGAGCTGATTGATGTCATCATTGGTTATTGCCCCAGATGAGTGAATTTTCCTGTAAATGATTCAACTTGATTCAGAACTCCTTAATACAGGCTACAAATCTGTGCAAAAGAATGGAAAACAAAATCATTATTACCTCAATAAATCAGAACTGTTATCAGCATTGTCCTCTTGTTTATGCCTTTTGTTCTTACTACGTGTCGTCGGTCGGCTCATCCTTGAAGACAAACTAATTCTGGGTACAGAACAAAACACCCTTTCAACTCAATGTAGCATTCATAACGTAGAATGAGTTACCTTAGCCATCACCAAAACAGAAAAGTGATAAAGAAATGAGATTATTAGCAACCAAAACCAAAACTCTGCTAGAGCAAAGAAAGAACACGCGGGGTTGAGTTCCTTAACTACATCGACAATCTTTCAGGATATTCTTATCTCTTTCAAAGGGGGAAAATCCCTTAGACAAAAACCTTCACCCATGGAGGTCCATTTTGACAAAATCAACAATAAATGAGGGGGAAAAAAAACACCCACCTGAACAAAGCAAACCTATATCGAAATAGAGTCCTTATAAAGGCCCCCACCTGTCACACCGAGTAAATTTCCTCGAAAAGCACAGATGAAAACAATTTCCATTGGCACAAACAAAACAACACCCACAACATTCTGCAGTTCAAAATTAGGGGAAAATATGCGAGAATCAAATGGCATAGACTAAAGAAACGAATTGGGATTTTCAAAAAAAAAATCCCAGTTCCATCAAAAGAGTGAAGATGATCCGAAGCAAGAACTTGAAGGGGTTACCAGGAAGTGAAGAAGCTTGACGCGAGCTGAAGGGAGAAGAAGATCAAACGCAGAACAACATGAAATCAGGAGAAAAACAAAAGCTGTACACCGGTGATCGGAGCTTGCGGGCAACAATTGATTCGATTAATCTGTGGAGAAGGCATTTTGTGGCATTGTTTACTGTGATTAGTAATCAGAGGAAAAATTAGTGAGGAGAAAGAAAAGAGAGAGAGGTTGCAGGGTCTGTAAAGGGTGAGGGGTCAGACGGGTCAGAAGAACAGAACGGACTTCAGGAGAGAGAGAGAGAGAGAGAGAGAAGGAGAGAACTGTAAATTTATTTTCCATTTTACATTTTCTTTTATAAACTCGGATTTTGGAGCCTTCCAAACATGGTCGGGTCGGGTCGGGTCATTTCCGTTTCACCGTCTTACCATTTTGATAATTACAAATTATTGGTTCAAGTTATTTATTTACATTTTTTAATGAAAATAAATTATTCATTTATTTATTTCCAAATATAATCCAGTTTGAAAATTTACTTTTTAGTGAATAAATAATTGAAAAACTAAGAGTTATTTGCACTTTATTTGTAAATAGATAAATTGATGGTCATTATAATTATAATAATAAATATTTACTCGTTATTTTATTTATTTTTTAAAAGAGTGATGTAATTATTAGAAAACCAAATAGTTATTATCTTATAAAATTAAATTGGTCTTTTTTTAGTTGAATTATTTAAATTTAAATTTAATTTTTTTTAAAGAAATTAAATAATTTAAACATTGGGAATATTGAAATGGGGAATATATTGCTGTGTAGAACATGTTGCACGTGATCTGGCTAAATAAATTTGGTAAGTTAATAAATATGTTAATAAATAATAAGTCATTTTTGGGTTTATGTCGTTTTTTTAAATAAAGTAAATAAAAAATATTGTAGATGTACTTCTAAATATTCGTACAATTTTTTAGACTTAATTTAATTGTATGAGTTGTGAATATTTTTCAACCCTCAACCCAACTTAACCATTGTTGAGTTGGTTCAATTACTCATTTTTATTTGTAAAATTTTGTTTCATAAAATATCTATTTATTTTATTTATTTTTAAATATTTAATTAAAATTTTCTTTTCTCAATCTAATTTAAAAAATCCTCTTTCAAATGATTAAAAATTATTTTTTAAATTTTTGATGAAAAGAAATAATAAAAAAATAATTATAAAAATATATAATATATAATTGAGTGTAAGACAACAAAATAAAATATATTTTTTTTAATTAACTATAAATTTGAGTTAATTCATCGACCCCGGTACATTCATGACAATTTTTGAATTAAAATTAGGAAATATTTAAAATTATAAAAATGACGTGAATAAAAATTTTATTTAAAAATATAAAAATAATGTAAATTGTTCAGAGGATAGTTAGCAAATTAGGTTTAAATAAAAAATTATTCATAAACATTGCTTAGCGATTAAGACACCACACTTAAGATGGGAGGTTCGAATCCCTGTACAGTAAACAGGGGAGGCACTCACAGTTCATATAAAGGTTCATTTAAAAAGGCAATTTAAGAAGTGAAAGTGATTTTGGCTCCACGTTCTGGGGAAACAGCATGAGCCATTGCACAATATGGGGCACCGCTATGAACCGGTGAAACGAGGATTTTCAGTCCTATGCTTTACTAACTGAGCTATCTTGGCCATTTCCGACATGTTGTCCTATTGCCTAGGGTTGATATTTACCCTTGTTTCCAGAGTTTCATGTCTACCCACTCCATCTGATCCAAGTACGAAAAAACTTGTACATAAGTAATTAAATGTAGTCTTCTTTTTTCGATTTCTTCGGTTGGAACGAGACTAGAAGGTAGGTCGGACCGAGGAAAAGAACAAGTCGACTCCATTATTGAGAGGCAAACATACTGTCTTTCACCGACACACCACTGCTTGGTTAACTTTAGTCGCTTGATCAGCCCTGCAAAGTAATTAGCATAAGCACTGTTACTCAACCCACAGGTCTGTCAGTAGCATTGCCAGTGTTCCTGGTTCATGGTTTGGATAGAATACACCAAGGGTACTGGAAAATGTACCGCTAGATGGCCCCCTATTAGAGCAATCACAGTGTAAGCCATATGAACTGTACAATGGCTACTTTGTTTCATTCAAGCCTTGAGATCAATGAAGGGAAATGGAGTTTGTTTGCTCTTCACCGTCATCGTTCATCGCTAACTTCGCTGACAAAAGATCTGCACGTCGAGATGCTCGGCAGTTTGATACAGTGAGGAGCTTAACCACGACGTCACAATAACTCCACCTGAACTGTATAATGACTACTTTGGCTTGAGATCAATGAAGGGAAATGGAGTTTGTTTGATCTTCACCGTCACTGTTCATCGCTAACTTCACTGACAAAAGATCTGCACGTCAAGATGCTCAGTAGTTCGATAAGGCGAGGATCTTAACCACGACGTCACGAGTAACTCCACCACTTCGCATCATACAAATGAAAGTTACTGTATTCAATTATGAACTGTACAATGACTACTTTGTTTCATTCAAGCCTTGAGATCAATGAAGGAGTTCGATAAGGTGAGGATCTTAACCATGACATCACAAGTAACTCCAACCACTTTGCATCATACAAATGAAAGTTACTGCATTCAACTATGGGTCAAGTTAGGCTGCACCTCAAACTCCTCGAATCACAATCTCAGCTGCATCCTCGATATGGAGCCGGGCTACACACTTCGGCCAGGAGTAGACTCGTGCCACAGTTTCAATTCTCATCTCATCAGATGCATAAATCCATTAATAACATAAACAGCTCAGTTCATCCCCAAAACACCTTCTGAATTGGTTACTCGTTTAGATGATCACGGTATTGGAACTTTTGCACCATCTGCTTCAAACATCAGAGAAAAAAGTTACAATGATAAATCAGAATTGGTTTTTGTGTCTGCAACTATCCTCCATAATATAGTTCTGAAACCAGTGAAACAGTAGTACAAGAAACGGTCCCGAAGATGTTATATAAACCTCGAACGTTTGTAATATTGCATCATGTGTAAAGAAGAAAGTTTATGACAAGAGACTAATGCTATTAAGGCTTTGATATTCAGCTGTGAACGAATATTGGAATCATGAGAATGTTATGCACAGTGAAAAGACAACAACTGATTAAGAAATAGTGGATAAAGCATAAGCATGGACACATACCTCTAAGGAGGAGCACATTACCCATCAGAAATGTCCACAAACAGAAGGCTGAATTATACTTAGGTCAGTAAAAGACATCTGTACGCCGCCCGTCTGTAACAACCCAAGCCCACCGCTAGCAGATATTGTCCTTAATGGACCTTTCCATTCGGGCTTCCCCTCATGTCTACTAGGGAGAGGTTTCTACACCATTATAAAGAATGTTTCGTTCCTCTCTCCAACCGACGTGGGATGTCACAGATCTCTTATGATTGTGAGCCACAATGGCAACATTAGTGCTGTAACCTCGAACAATTTATTTTGTTAAACAGCTACTCATGCCATCATTGTCAACCACCTTTGATAAAATTTAAATGCCATTTCAGACTCTCCTATTCTATGGTACTTCTCAAAAATAATTTTAAATGGGACAATATCCATTGGCAACCCAGATCTGTGTAACTTCATAAATAGATCTTCTGCCTCCTTCATGTCACCACATATACAGTGACCTCTTATTAGTTCTGTGTAGGTTATCTTATCTGGTTCGTACCCCTTCCTCAGCATTTCATCATATAATTGAAGGGCAGAACGAATTTGTCCACACTTACAGGCACCACTTATCAATAAATTATAAGTAACAACGTCTGGAAAATGACCTAACAAAAGCATATCCTTTTTCAGAGAATAAGCATTGAATATGTTCCCTCCTTTAACTTGTGCGTGAATCAATGCATTGTAAGTAAATACATTTGGTAGCACGCCGGTGGCCAACATCTGATCCCTGATGGAGATTGCATTGCTCAGATCTCCATACCTTCCATAACAATCGATTATCAGGTTCCAGATACGAGGCTCAGGCACCATCGATTTCTCTAACATTGAATGAAGAAACTCATTAGCTTTGATAGCATCTCCATGAATACATAGACCTTGAATAATCATTTTGTATGAAATATGATCTGGAGAAACACCCATTCGTGACATGACATCATGTATATAGTAAACCTCATCAAATTGGCCCTCTTTACAAAGATCACTGATTAGAGTGTTGTATGTAAAGATATCGGGAATAAAACCCCTCTTGATCATATCAACAACACAGCCAAATGCAATTTTCTTATCTTGATTCAAACAAAGCCCGTGAATAAGGACGTTGTATGCAACGACATCAATCTCTGTCTTCTTTTCCACCATCTCAGACCATAAAGAAATAGCCTGAACCATATCTCCACCTTTAAAAAAACCATCCATTAATATAGTTGATGTGATTGCATCATCTGTTGTTTTAATATCATCATCAAGGATATCTTCAAGAAGCTTCCGAGCATCCTCCAGGATGCCTCTCTTGCACAATGCATGTAAAAGTATGTTATAGGTAATTCTACTTGGCTTAATACCATTATTAGCCATGGTATAAAATAAGTCGAGAGCTTTATCCATATTCCTATGAAGGCAGAAACCCTTAATAATAATGTTGTATGTGGCACAACTGGGAGAAGGACCACTTTCTAACATTTCCCTAAAAAGAGAATCTGCTATCTCCATATCACAGTTTATACACAGTCCATTAAGAAGATAATTGTGTGTGAGTAAATCAACAACAAAACCTTGTCTTATCAACTTTCTCCGAAGCAAAAGAGCTGCTCCTAATTTTCCTTTTAAACACAAATCCCTAACCATGGCAGTGTAGTCAGGTTGCTGAACGGCCTCCCAAAGACATTTCTGAAGACCTGACTTTGCTAAACATATGCTTTCCCTGAAAAAATTTAGGCATTTAACAGATTTTTACAAGATGATACCTTGTAAACATATAAGGCATATAAGATCATTAGATATATTTAATAGCATAAAAACAATTGGGAGATGAAAAGAAGAATAAACGAAATCAGCCGTCCAATTTTTTAATTTTCTTATCCTCATCACAACTAGGAATAATAGTACATCAACAATCATAAGTCACTGCACTCAATGAATATTCAACTCTAAAGAAGCAATAAGGGGCTATGCAGGAGAAGTACATCAACTTAATTTGAGTGAATATAAAGATGGATGTGAAAGGACTCATTGATGTCTTAATGAAGAAACGCGGAGGAATCCCAGTTTTTAGTAAAAAGATCAGAAGCTTCAGAACTCCAAGTTTTACACTAGTTCCCACAAATTCCCTAAAACCTTACTGAGGCAATGCCCCCCAACACTCTTATTTTTCGTGTCCCTTCTCTCTCGCCAAACCTTTAATTGATGGTGAGAATTATAGCTCGATAGCAAAGTTCACTTACAACTAACTATAGCAGACTCAGGTGATTCTAAGCTCACATAAGTACCTTTATTCTCCAAGAACACAGTGGTTTGTGCCCAGGAAATGTGAGCTATAGCATGAATTATAGCATCTGCTAATCATTTAACACAGAATATATCCAACAGCTACTTAAGAATAAATAGGCTCATCGAAATTATCTGCAGTCAGCGCAAGTAAAATTTTATAGTTATCACGATCTTTTAAGGATATAACGATTCCATGCATTAAACAAGGTTTACCCATATGCTCAGAAATTTTGAAATGAAATTTGTTCTCCTTTTGGCTGGCACCTGACCCTTCCTTGGGACATCAAGACTTTTCTTTCCATAGTTTTGTCCGATCATCCTTTCAAGGAAGCTAAAGCTGTGTTGTGAAAATCCACCATCAGGGATTTTCTTTGGAATCGTTAGAAAGAATGAGAGCTTATTGGATAAAGAGCTTCCTTTTGACAAGTTCTTTGATTCCATTGTTTATCATGCCATCTCTTAGTGTAAATCTACAAATATCTTTTCTTCTTATAGTTATGCTACTCTATTGACAAATTGCAAGCTTTTTGGAATCACCCTCGATTATCTATCCTTTTTGTAATTTCATACATCAATGAAATTGTTTCTTATAAAAGGAAATAATAAGATTTACCTAGTAAGGTATTATTCATTAAATAAGCAGGATGGCTTTCATCTATGCACGTCCACATTGATGAAGAGATCATCACGTATTGAGATTTCGAACTATAAGGGTGAAAGCAAATATAATTAACGAAAAGAAAAAATCACCTCATGGCCTTCAAACGATCCAAACTACCCCTGAGCAGAGCGTCCAACACGTTGAAAACAGCCTGCGGATCACTTTCGCCATCAAAATTACGCTTTTCTGAAAAACAAGCCGAGAATCTCAACTCGCAATGGTCACCGTCAGTTGTCATCAAACTTTTAATAGCAGGCTGTAATGAATCCTCATCCTCGTCGGGCCTTCGCATGTAATGTATATAATCAGAAAGCATAAAGAAATTCATTAAAATTCTTTCAATTTCTTAATGTTAACATACAAAAGGTCAATTAATTACTGTAAAGTCGATGAAGTGTCGCACTCATTTCAGACGGAGCAAACCAAAGGATCGAAATATGTAGTCGTTTTACCTCGCCACTGCATCAATGTTAGATAGGCCGTTAAAGACGGCGAACATCCGAGAAATATCGCGCTTGAAAAAGTTAAGGGCTCCGTTCAGGAATCCAAGCACAGAAATGTGAGACGGAGGCGATTCGCTTGCAAACTGAACCACCAAAATAAACATGTGAACACCATATACGAAAAATTCTGAGCAAAGAAATGTAAGATAAAGGAATGGTAGAGGATAACTCACCGCCGCGAACATCATCGAGATAGCCGAATATTCTACTCTGGATTTCACTTCGTAATTCGAAATCAAATAACAATCTATGCAATATAGAAGGCCCAAAGTTTCGACGACGCCGGTGAAATCAACAGCCGCGGCGAGTTTCTTATAGCTGGCTGTGCTCCGCCGTCCCTCCAGCAGACTGCAGTCTCCTCCTTTCTTCGATTCGTTTTTCACGTCACATTTTTTGAATTTTCGCATTTATTACACGACATGACATGAATTACTTTTTGAAAAAAAAAAAAAAACGGAACATTGAGGCTCGTTTTCGTTCTAGGATAATAAAATAATATTTTCTTCGTTGGTGTGAGACTTTTTAGTAAGCTTAAATCAAACCCACCGGAACCTATGATCAAAGTGGACATCATACATTCCCGAGAGAGTTGGGTATAACTCTTAAATAATGCAACTTAAAAAATAAATAAAATAAAATTATTAGATTTTATAAATCTAGCTAAAAATTAATTTTAATAAAATCATTAAATTGGGATGGGACAAAAATAACATTTTTACCCCTCTACTCAAATGGGCACAAGAAAATGAAATAGAAAATTAAAAAATTAAAAAAATTAAATATTTATCTTCGAGATAAAAAAAATCTTGGTATACAGATAGAAAGCTATATAGATAGAACCATAATAGACAGATCATATTGATATAATATGTTACATATCTCGTTTTTGTATGTGAGCTAGATTCTTTATTGAATTTAATTTTTCGTCTCTGTATATATAATTATTTATATGTTTAATGACTTTAAAATGATAAATACATAGAGATTGAATATCAATAATATTGTTAATGATAAAAGCAAAAAATAAAATAGATTGATATAAAAGTGTATCGTTTATATTCAAATATAATTTTCATGGCACCATTACTTATTACCAATAGACAAAGGTATGAGCAAACATAAATATATTTGTATATCCTACGTCAACATAAAATGCAAAGATCTATCACTATTTATACAACACATATAGAGTTGCTAAATTGTTGCAAATTAACGAGTATTATGGAAGCAAAGGGCTAAAAAAGGCCTATAATAATATTAATAGCTTTCTACACGAGTCATTAGGAACAAAAATTAGCATAGAGATATGAAAAGAGCATTATTAATCACAATTTAACTCAGTAGCTTCAAACCCGTCTTTGGAAGACAAATAATGAACCTCTAGAGCCCTTTCCGAGACGAATTTTGTCATCAATGTATGTAATTTGGAGTTGTACCTCGCTTTCGCCACCATATCGAAACTCTAATCCGCCGACTTTTAGTTCAGGTGGCTCGAACACAACTTTGATCCATTTATCATCCAGAGCCTTCAATTTACCTGACATTTTTTTGTTTGTTGGTAAGAAGAAACACGATTTCATGGAGCAAAATGAAAAAGAATATATCAAGGTGAGAATGTTTGCTTAATCTGCTTTACCTAAATAGTGTGAAAATTATCTATTTATAATTAAATAAATTAAAGGATATGGGGAGAGTAATAAATAGAAATAATAATAAATGAAAAAATACATATGGTAAGAAGTAAATATCTCGAATTTGTCTTCTAATAAAATATCAAACTTGATATATATGTAAACTACTAAATATTCTTAAATGGCGTAGAAACAAAAGCCCCCTAAAGAGCTCACAACTGACTACGAGATTGGACTCCAATCTAAAAGAATTCATGAGAATCTCCACCATCATCGAACGGCATGTAAATTGAAGGCACTAGATGAAACATAACCAACCAAATCAATTCTAAAATTTACGATTGCGTCTTGAATTCTTAAAACTTGGTCCATGAGTCTACCACTAATAGATATTGTTTGCTTTTGCTCGTTTTGTATCGTCGTTGGCCTCACGGTTTTAGAATGCATCTACTAGGGAGAGGTTTCCACAACCTTACAAGGAATGTTTCGTTTCCCTCTCCCTAATAAACACGTTTTAAAACCGTATTTGTGAGATCCCACGTTGGTTGGAAAGAGGAACGAAACATTTCTTATAAGAGTATGAAAACCTCTCCCTACTAGACATGTTTTAAAACCATGTTTATGAGATTTCATATTGGTTGGAGAGGGGAACGAAACATTCCTTATAAGGGTGTGGAAACCTTTCCCTAGTAAACACATTTTAAAACCGTGTTTGTGAGATCCCATATTGATTAGAGAGGGAAACGAAACATTCGAGAGTGGAAGCCTCCCCTAATAGACGCGTTTTAAAATCGTGAGGCTAGTAGTGATACATAACGGGCCAAAGCGGACAATATCTATGAGCTGTGGGCTTAGACTTGGACTGTTACAAAAGTAGTTTCCAAAGATGACTTTTGAGAAGTAACACTTAATCTAAGGTCTGAATGACCATGGACAGCTGATTTAGTTTCTTGAGGTACGAAGTTAGGAGCGACTAATTCTTATGAAAAAATCCAGAGGCTATGTCAGCTATGTTACTGTGACCTTGGTTTGGTTTTCCAGCCATTGATTTAATTTTCTGATATGTTCACGAATAGAGGTCTCAAATTTTATTGTTTACAGAGGAAGTTTTAAAGTTGTACCTGTCAAAGAGACCTGTCCATCTAGGAAACCAAGAGCAGAAAAGGACACCTTGTTTCTGATAGTATCAGGAGCTTCCACACCCTGAATCATTTCCTTTGTCTTGAAAAAAATGCGACCCACTGCACTTCTGTATCCACCCCCAGGCGATGTTGGCACAGAGCAATAAACAACATCCCAATCTGAGATAGCACTTAATCATGTTAGCCAAACTAGAGCTGAAAAATGAGCAACAACTGGGTTGAAGTATTCTCTTTTGGGTTCTAGCATGCTTTTAAATTCCAACACATTTCAACTCGAATCAGATATTTGCTATCCCGTCAAATAAAACAATGTTAAATCATAAATTTAGTTCTAGAACTTTGAAGTTTTGTCTATTTGGTCTCGTAACTTTTACATATGTCTACTACGACCCTAAATTTTCAATTTTGAGTCTAGTAGATTCTTGACAAATTCAAAACTTGTAAAAAGTAATTGATCTTAAATCTCTTAAACTAAATTTGTAATTTTCAAGTTCAAATCAAATAGACAAAAACTATAAAGTTTAGAGACTAAATTTGTAATTGAACCGAAATGGTTTAAGAACCTGCCAAATTCAAGAAAAAAATGGCTGGATTTCTCAGGATTTCATAGATTTTCAGATTAAACTAGTCATGTTTTAGTTTCTAAATTAGGCCTGAAGTACTATATAGGTAAAACTATTATTTTCATTTCCTTTTCAACAAACAGCCAAACAAGATGAAGAATTCAAATCATTTTTGGCATTTCAAAAAAGCAGATATGAAATCATTTCTTATACTTTCTTGTTTTCAAACAGAGGCGAAAATAAAGATCAAACATGGGTCCATATGCAAGATGAGTAGATGTATATTCAAGCATATGCAACAAGAACCAGTAGAACTGTTTGAAATATTACCTCCAAATATGAGAGGACATTTAACAGGCTCGTTTACACAATATTTTTGCAATTCTTGAGCCAATTCAGCAACCTCTTTATGTTTTCCTTCAGTTAGTAAAACTCCTCCGTCACTTCCTGTAACCTGTTTCAAAGAGTAAAATCGCCATTCCGCAATGAAAATTATGAAATCCGAGCAAAAGTTAATGGCACCGAGTATACAATTACAGTTAAAGCATTGTTGACCAAGATCATTCTGAGATCTGAAGAGGCTCGAGTGGAAATCATGTAAACTCCCTTTACCAGTCGAATGATCTTCATCAAGAGAGAATTTCTGTAAATTTCCAAGTCCAGTACCACTCACTAACGTAGGCCTCTATTTGCGACACATTTTCTACTAGAATTTCCAATTTTCGATTCTAGATCGACTATTTTTCACCCTAGAACCAGTTCCAATATGCAAAACAAACTAAAACAAACAAGTTTCAAAACATTACCTTCGAGAGAATGGACGCAACGAGATCATCAGGACCCGTTCGAACTTGAGGATCCGAGATCGAAACCGACGCCTGAATTACGAATGGCTTGCGCCGATGGAAACGAGATGAAATTAAAGTGGATTGACATGAAATTGACGATATTGAGCTTGGAGCAAGAAACTTCGATTTCGATGGCTCAATGCGTCCACTGGATACTACTTTTGCGAGCAAAGGTGCAACTGAGGTAGCCGAGACAGCCATGTAAATCCTACAGGTTCAGAAGACGAACGCTAGCATTTGGCTCGCCGCTGCAATGTACGTGGGGAGAATCGGATATCGGCCCCACGAGGCGATGAATTGCCGGGTTATCTTCATGCCAAGTGAGCTAAGTTGATTGCAGCCTTATCTTTCAGATTCCCGCTTTTGATTTTTGTTGAATTATTTATTCTCTAACAATTAAGTTAAAATAAAACTTTTTTTTTTTAAATTGGGTTTATTTGTTGATATTTTATATATTAAAATCTTATTTTTATTAAAAATAAAAAAATTAGACAAGGTATGAATAGTTCGAAACAACCAGATCAAAATATTTTATAGTTGGTCAGTAAATTCATTGTTTTAATAAAAGTTAGTTAGGTCGAAAAAATTTACAGCTTTAGGTTTGATTGTTTTTTTAAAAGAAATGTTTCAACCTGATCTAACTTATCCATCTCTCCCTCTCGAACTTGTCCTCGTCGTTACTATTATCTCATGCCCACGAATAACACACATTTTGTCGGGTTTAACCAACGAGAAAAGTTGTCCTCAAATTTTATTAAAACCCATTTAGGGTCTAACAAATTTAATCGAGCTCAACAAAAAAAAATGTATTTGTTTCCAAAAATAAGGAGAATTAAATTTGTTCATCTAAATATCTCATGAATTTGTAGACACTAAACTTATAACCACCGTGAAATATAGCTCAACCATAATTGATATATACTTTGCCCTAATTATTGTCGGTTATTAGAAATGTCTATTTTACCTACCGAGACTGTGCTCCGAACAGGGAGGAGATTCCCCATTTAAACAGAGAATAGTGAGGGAGTGGGGAATATTTTTTCACTATTAGATAAATGGGACTGAGAACAGGATTATATTTCTCATTTCCGTCCCCACCTCCATCCCACGTAATATAAATATATTTTCAACACAATAAAAGACGGGTAGATTTGAGAACTTATAGAATCCGTACCTTTAGTTTATTATTTCAAATGTCATTAAATGATCAACTTTTTATATTCCGATCTCCAGTTATATATATTAAAATTAAGATATAAAATTAATTTATAAATAAATAGATGTAATTCTATTTTGTAATATTAAAATTTAAATAGGTAAAAATTACGTTGAAATATTAAATTATATTTTTATTTATGAAATATTTGGGAAGTTTTATGATTTTTTTTTTTATTATATTACTCTGGTTTTTCTAACATGGACATGTAGGAAAGTGAGAGAGATACTGCCACGTGGATGGAAGTTTTAATGCAGTTTAATGTTAATTAAAAAAGGAAATAAAAATTAGGAAGACGACATGACAATATAAATGGTGGTGGAGACCGGCGCCATTTTTGGGACTTCGTGCCGCCACTTTCTTCCAGAGAAGAAACCAAGTGGAACTGCGTGGACGTCGTACGACCACCCAGTCGACGGCCACGATCCGTTCTCACAGTTCCAATCCATCCCCACGGTCTCTTCAAAATCCCACCGTCGGTTCCAAAGCGCGGGAAAAAGACCCATAGCCTCTGTGTATCACTGCAAACTAACGGTCACGGACATATCTCTCAGTCGAGGTCGATCTGGAAGAAGTCGATAAGGTTACTTTCTTCCTCAAAGTAGCTCTGTGTTTTTCTTTCTAGGGTTTCAGGTCTTCTTTCATGGCGCCGAGGAAGCGAAGCAAGAATCAAGAAGACGAGCCGGCGGCGGCGGAGGAGAAGCCGGCCCCGGTGTCGTCGATGGTGACTCGGAGATCGCCCCGGCTGGCGGTGAACTCCAAGGCTGATTTGGTGGTGGAAGAGGCTGTGACGGAGTTGCCGAAGAGTAAGAAGGTGAAACGTGCTCCAAAGGAGAATGGAAAGGCGAAGGAGGTTGGAAATGAGGGGGAGGAAATTGATGCTTGTGAATGTTTGCTGAATCACCACACCTAAATGGGGGTGAGAGTTCTCTTATTTATAATCATTTCCAGGATACAGAAATATGGTAAATTACAAATATTATGGAAATAGTAATAAAAGGAAAGAATAATAAATGAATGCAATATATTTGCCTTTAATAAGAGGGCAAATATGGTAACCCGTAATGTAAGGCAAATATCTAGATATTTGCCTTATAGTGAACGGTCAACTATCCTTAACACCCCCCCGCAAGCTGAGCGTCGGATTTGAACGAACGTAAAGCTTGGATCTGAAAAATTCAAAGAGAGGTCGAGAAATACTCTTTGTGAAGATGTCAGCAACTTGGAGATGAGAGGGTACATATTGTGTGCGAAGTTTGCCAGCGATAACAAGTTCTCGAAGGAAATGATAATCTAGTTCAACATGTTTGGCCCGCTTGTGAGAAACGGGATTAGAGCTCAAAAAAATAGCACTTTTGTTGTCACATAAGAGTAAGGGCTGCTTTGAAATAGGGACCTTGAGGTCATGCAAAAGATGCGTAACCCAAAGAAGTTCAGCAGCGGTTGTGGCAAGAGCACGATACTCAGATTCACAGCTGGAGCGTGAGACAGTAGGTTGCTTTTTGGCACTCCAAGAAACCAGATTGTTACCAAGATAAATAGAATAGCCGGATGTAGAACGACGAGTATCGGGACAACCAGCCCAGTCAGCATCCGAATAAGCGACTAGCGTACTAGGAACAGTGGATGGACGAAAGGTAAGACCAAAGTGGAGTGTTCCTTTGACATAACGAAGAATACGTTTGACAGCAAGAAAGTGATCTGCAGTAGGGGCATGCAAGAATTGACTGACAGAATTGACAGCATAGGCAATATCTGGACGCGTAATAGTCAAGTACTGAAGGGCGCCAACAAGAGATCTGTAGAGAGTAGGATCAGAGAAAGGAGAACCATCAGCAGTCAGGTGTTGAGAAACAACCATGGGAGTGTGAACTGGTTTGCTATCGAGCAACTGAGCACGAGTAAGAATATCTCGAGCATATTTTAACTGACTAATAAAGAGACCATCAGGAGTGGGTGAAGCTTCAAGACCAAGAAAGTAACTGAGAGAACCCAAATCTTTGGTAGCAAACTCAGAATGAAGCTTGCGAGTAAAGCTGTCAATAAGAGATGAGTTGTTGCCGGTAACAATAATGTCATCAACATAAAGAAGCAAATAGATAATGTTAGATTGCTGATGAAAGACAAAAAGGGACGTGTCAGCGCGACTGCAAGAAAACCCAAGTGTGAGAAGAAATGAGCTAAAACGCTGAAACCAAGCACGAGGAGCTTGCTTTAAACCATAGAGGGCTTTCTTTAATAGACAAACATGAGTGGGAAATCGAGGATCAATATACCCAGGAGGTTGTTCCATATGAACACGTTCAATAAGAGTTCCATTGAGAAAAGCATTCTTGACATCAAGTTGTCGAAGATGCCATTTATTTGTGACTGCAATAGAAAGCACAACACGGACAGTGGTAGCTTTGACAACCGGACTGAAAGTGTCAGTGTAGTCAAGACCAGGAACCTGAGTATAACCTTTGGCAACAAGACGAGCCTTGAAACGCTCGACAGATCCATCAGGCAAATATTTAATACGAAACACCCATTTAGAGCCCACGATGTTGGTGTTAGCAGGGCGAGGAACCAAAGTCCAAGTATCATTTTGTTGTAATGCTCGAATTTCTTCATCCATGGCAGCCACCCAAGCAGGATTCTTAGCCGCAGATTTGAATCCTTTTGGCTCAGTGGATGCAAGAAGAGCAGAAAGAAGTCCAGATGAGCCCAAAATACCAAGATTTGCTGGATGACGAGTCTTGAATATACCAGCTTTGGCTCGTGTGATCATAGGATGAGTGCCCAAAGAAGAGAAATCAACAGGAGGTTCAATAGAGGTCGAATTAGAAGTCGAGGGTGGCAAAGTGGAACCTGTAAGAGAAGTATCAACCTGCACAGACTCATCTACAAGGTCAGAACAAATATCACACGGGGATGAACTGGATCGAGGAGTTTGCGGTGATGAAGTGGTAGGGGGGGATGAATCAATACGATGAAAATGT